GTATACAGAACGCCCCTCCGTGTGAAAGCAAACTGTGGCTTACATTCTTTGGCCAAAGGAATGGAAAAGAAGGCATTAGCAATGTCAATGGTGGCATACCATTTGGCTGCTTTTGACTCCAGTTCATACTGGAGTTCTAACATGTCCGGCACAGCAGCACTCAGTGGGGGTGTGACTTCATTCAGGCCACGGTAGTCCACCGTCAGCCTCCATTCTCCACTGGCTTTACGCACTGGCCATATGGGGCTGTTAAAAGGTGAGTGAGTTTTGCTGATCACTCCCTGACTCTACAGTTGATGAATCAACTTACGAATGGGGAGCAAAGAATCCCTGTTGTTGTGGTGCTGCCGCCTGTGCACCGTTTTTGTAGCAATCGTTACCTGTTGCTCTTTTACTTGCAGCAGCCCCACAACAGACGGATCTTCTGACAGGCCAGGCAAAACAGACAGCTGCTTAATGTTGTCTGTGTCCACAGCAGCTATTCCAAAGGCCCATCGATACCCCTTGGGATCCTTGAAATGCCCCCTTCTGAGATAATCAATACCTAGTATACATGGAGCCCCTGGGCCTGTCACAATAGGATGTTTTTGCCAGTCCTTACCAGTGAGGCTTATCTCAGCCTCCAACACAGCCAATTCTTGAGAGCCCCCGGTCACTCCAGAAATATGGATTGATTCTGTCCCTTCATGACTCGAGGGCATCAGAGTGCACTGTGCACCAGTGTCCACCAGGGCCTTATATTTCAGTGGTTCTGATGTGCCAGGCCATCGAATCCACACAGTCCAATATACTCTATTATCCCTTTCCCCCCCCGACTGAGGGCAGGGCCTCTCTATTCATTACCTGTGGTAACTGGAGCAACTGCACTGGTGGTTGATCTGCTTTGTAATTCTTTTACCACTTCTCGTAGTAGAGAACATAGGTTCACCGTGCCACTTCCTCATGTCTTCTCCATGGTCACGTAGGTAATACCATAAGGCAATTCGCGGTGCATTATCCCTTACTTGAGCCGGAGAGCGTCTGCCTCTAACAGCTGAGATTTTTGATGGTGCACGTGAGAAGTAAGGTTCATCGTCTTTAGTTAGGTGGGCTCGCATGAATTTCATAATCTCCTTCATCTCCTTCATATCCTTCATTAGACTCTTTTGATTATCCTGATGTTCATCAAGCATCTCTGATAGTGCTACAGGTTTGTCATGACTAATTAGTTGAGATTAGTTGAGACACTTGCTCTCGCACTTCATTCAGTTGGTCCGTCATTTGTGAGAGCAGCAACAGCAACATGAGTGGGGGGTAGCAATTGTTCATAGTTTTGGAGTGAAAGAATTTATTCATAAACTAAGGGTGTTCTCTGTTGTTCCTTGTATCTGTCACACGCTGACATTAGTGTAGCGGCATATTTGTCCGGCGCTGTTGTCACGAGATTCTGCCATACCTCAGGCATTGTCCTCACTTTTTCAGGGTGGCGGTCTTGGTGTGGATGGTTAGGAACAAAGGGTCATACAACATTTCCACCACGCCTATTTCCCTCAAATACTGGATACCCTTTTCAACTGTATCCCATTTTTTCATCGCAATCTTCAAGCCATTTTTGAAGGGATACTTTTCCTTCACGGCTGTTAACACTCGTTCCCAGAGGGAGGCAGCCTCATCCGAACATCGACTAATTCCTCTATCAATAGCTGGATCTCTGGCAATGGCGCCTAGTTGGCGAGCTTCATTACCATCCAGAGACAAGCTGTGGGCCCCACTGTCCCAACAGCGAACCAAACAGGAAACAAGAGTTTCATTCGGGCGCCGTGTAAACTCCTTTCTTGAACCTTGAATTTCAGTCATCTTTAGAAGCTGGCGAGTAGTAATAGAGACTTCCTCTTCATCACCCTCTTCTGCACGTCTCTTAGTTTTCCCTTTTGCCTTTTGCAATGGTGGTGGTTCTGAGGAGGGCCCCTCGCCTGGATCTTCCTCCACCTCCTCCTCCTCCTCTTCTTCTCTTTTTCATTCAATAAGCAAAGACACTCATTTCCATTTCTTGCCTTCTAGAGGAGCAACTGGTATTGTTACTGGTGTCTCCTGTAATTGATTAGATTTGACTTGGAGATTTTCCCCTTTGGCTTGAACCTCAGCTCGGAAACTCTCTCTCCAGAATGGTATTATATAGGGCACGGTAAGCACAAGCCAAACCCCAAATAAGTTGTACCTCCTTAGATTTATGTAAGCCGCATCGTCCCTGACTCAAATACTGGCTTAGTTTCTCAGGATCCCACAGGTGTTCAAGAGTAAAATCCCATGACACTGCGGGTCCCCATGCTTCTAAGACCTTTCCTAAACCTCTCCATATCCCCTGCCAATCATCATTCTCTAATTTTGGAGAAGACTCCTTCCCTTTATTACAAATGCGTTGGAGTACATTCAGGAGAATTGATGACATGCACACCAACATGAGTATTAATTCAAGATTCGAAAAACGTTTGACAAACCGAGAAGAAAACCCGGAGACTGGTCTGAACATCATGTTGTTTGTAACATTAGCTATTCCATTTGGGATGTAGCTGTTTGTGAAATCAGCCATTCCTGCTGGGATGTAGTTGTTTGTGAAATTAGCCATTCCTTCCGGGATGTAGATGTCAAAATTCAAATCGTACCACATTGCAAATAGGTAAAACATAGGTGTCTCCATCAGTGCCATTAAGTAGTTATATATGAATGCAATCCCACAACACACAAGTGTGAGCTGGATTATTGGCCAGTAGGTTGTGAGTAACACCATTGCTTTTAATCCTTTACCCAGCACCCCCATGATAACGAGTGGGTTAATCGCTGGTGTCTGCTAAAAAGGGGTTAATGAATTGAAGCTAACAAGAGGAGGGAAAAGAAAAGAAAAAAGGCACTACTCAGACTAAGTAGTGCTCAAAGTTTACAAATATCCCAGAACACTGGCAGTACGCCTAATCTTTCAAGGTAAGGTTTTCCAGCATAGAAACCTGAACTACTGATAATGCTCCCTAACGAAGCTCTCTAAGAGCAGAGAGAAAAAGAGATTTTTTCTAAAAGCTAAAAAGCATCTATTTCCTGGCCAACGCACCAAAATCTGTCACAGAGTTGACTAGATCATTCTATGTCCGTGACAGGGGGCAACAGGCCTCTGCCCTCCCCCCCAACCCCAGTCCCACAAAGATGGGAAGGAAGGAAGGGAGGAAAAGAACAGCGGCAACAATCTATGGAGGAAAACTTATTTTACTATGATACCGGAATACAAGATAACACAATATATACAATTTAATTGAAATTGAGATGAATAAATCAGACAAGATGAGAGAGAGAGTTCCCGGGACCGAGTCAAACCTGAAAAGCTTGGAACGGCCAGGAAAGCACCTCCAGCACCCACTGCAAGGCAGCAAGAGAGCGCCCCCCCCCACCTGGAAGGGCCAGATCCCGTGACTTCTGTAATGTACAGGGATAGGTACCTAGAATTGGGGCATTAACACTTTAATGCCCTGTACACTACATGATGTTTTGATTTGGAATACTGAAACCCCCCAAAAATCAAAAAACATAGAACCATGATATGTCCAAAGTGCAGGACCCGGCACTTGGCCTTGTCGAACCTCATCCCATTCACCTCAGCCCAGCGATCCAGCTTATCTAAATCCCTCTGCAGGGCCTCCCTACCCTCAGGCAGATCTACACCACCTCCTAACTTGGTATCATGTGCAAACTTACTGAGGGTGCACTCAAGCCCCTCATCTAGGTCATCAATAAAGATATTAAACAAGATGGACCCCAGTACTGACCCCTGGGAGACAGCACTTGGAACGGGTTGCCAGCTGGACTTAACTCCATTAACCACTACCCGCTGGGCACGGCCCTCTAGCCATTTTCTTATTGATGTCATTGATATTAAAGAGCGTCGGTCCCAGTACTGAACCCTGAAGAATATTACTCAACACTGATTTCCATCCAGACATGGAGCCATTGACCACCACTCTCTATATGATCTTGCAACCAGTTCATCCATTGAACCGTCCACCTATCAAGTCCACATCTTTCTAATTTGGAGAGAAGGATATTGTGGGGGACTGTGTTAAAGGCCTTACTGAAGTCCAGGTAGATTACTTCAGTGGCTCTTCCCTTGTCCGTTGATGAAGTTTTGCCATCATAAAAGGCCACTAGGTTGGTCAGGCAATTTCAGTCTGTCTTCCATGCAGTAAATTACTGTGTACCTCTTTGTAATAGAGCTGATGTAGAGTAGTCTTGCTGTTCATTGCCCATTGTTAGGATTTAGGTTCGTTAGTAGCTGAATTCATTCAAAGTATCTTCATTAGGCTTTTTTTGTTCTTGCTGTTTACTTTGTCTTCAAATTAATGCCTTTTTTGTTACTCTCTCAAATGAAAGGCACCCCATAGAAAATTGCTATCTAATTGAACTTGTAGTCTATGAGATTAAGAACCTCATACCTATTTGCCTATACCACTAATGTACCATTTGTATTTATGCTCTTACTGTAACTAACTGCATGGCTTTTTTAGCAACTATTTTTAACCTCTTTTTATTACTTGTACTGTTTAGGTCTTTTCATATGAAGACATATTCCACATGCATTCATTATATAAAATTAGATTGTGATTAAAAGTATTATTTTCTTAACAAAGATTCCCTTTATAGCTTTTTATTGATGTTTAGTATTTGATCTTTCTTGAGAAAATAATATTATTATATTCTAATATTATTGTAGTGTTTGTTTTGTGTGTCCTTAGCACACTTTAAAGTTGGCTGAATTCAAGTATTCATTAAATCCTAAATGTAAATCAAAGGATAAGTATTAATCTATTTCAGCTACTTTAACTGTGAGTGCATAGAGTGATTGGGATACAAATAAATGTATCTTCCTTTAGAAAAACATTTAAGGGAAACTGTTAGAATTATACACAATAATTCATTGTCTTAATTAAGCTTTATGTTAGAAGTACAATCATAATATAAATCTTACTGTAAATTTCCAGTTTCCTTAAAGGAGACATGTTTATTGTCCATAATGAATTGGAAGATGGCTGGATGTGGGTTACAAACCTACGGACAGATGAACAGGGTCTTATTGTAGAAGACCTGGTAGAAGAAGTTGTAAGTAATTTTATATTCAAATCTGTTACAGAACTGAGATTTTTTTAAAATTATTTTGTGTATGCAACTTAACACTGAAATAAAACCAAACCAGTGGTGTTTAACTTATTGATTGTCAGTTATATACTTTTCTAAATCTTCCTTTAGTAATTGAATCTACCAATTTTTAAATACTGTAACAAACCTTTAAATCTAATTCAGTATTCAATGTGCTTATTCACTTGTTGTCCAAACAAGTTCATGTCCAAATGAATGATACTGTGAGCTTACTAGACAATATCCTAAACTCACTAGTCCTAAGAACCTGCTATTCATTCAGTTCCATTCTTTTTTTGTTTTCCTTGAAGTATTCCTAAACATATCACAGTGTGAACTTTCAGACTATGTGCCTTTTTCTTTAAAGGGTCAAGCATGAGTTAAAAGTATATTGAGTTAATTATGACAAGAACAGTTTTCTAAAATAATGGATTTTTGGCTGAATTTTCACTTAGTGAATGAAGTAGAAAACCTCTTCACACAGAACTGTGAAATGTGACATTTAGTTAAAATACCTTTGACTTCTTAGTGTTGCCTATTTCTACGGAAGATCTTAAATGAATTTACTTTTCTAAACTCAGGTGTACTCTTGTCATGTAATTAATATGTTAATTTTCTTATTAGGGAAGAGAAGAAGATCCCCATGAAGGCAAAATGTAAGGACTTTTTTTTTTTGTTATTAAAGCAAATCATAAAGTAACTGTAAACTTCAGCTATGAAGTTGGGAAGGTGAACCAAAGGTGTGTAGTTGGATGTTTTTCTGGTTTTTTTTTTTTTTTTTTAAATTATTTTTAAGACTTCTGTATAAGCTATTGAAGATACAAGACTTAACGTCAATTATCTATGCCTGTTAGTTATGCCAAATGGTAATGGGTTTTACAATGATAAAATCTTACATGAGTCTGCATGATCACTTTTATCCAGAATGCACATAAAGCAAACAAAGGTGATGACAGAGACTTTATTTGAGATACAGGCTCTATAGAACAAGATATCAAAGAAAGAGGAAGGGGAGCCTACAGAGGGGAGGGGAATCAACTCTTTGAAAGGGTTGATACGTGTAGGACGAGGGGAAATGGTTTTAAGTTGAGGGAGGGGAGATTTAGGTTGGACATCAGGGGGAAATTCTTTACCCAGAGAGTGGTGAGGTACTGGAACAGGCTGCCCAGAGAGGTTGTGGATGCCCTGTCCTTGGAGGTGTTCAAGGCCAGGTTGGATGGGGCCCTGGGCAGCCTGGTTTAGCATTAAACGTGGAGGTTGGTGGCCCTGCATGTGGCAGGGAGGTTGGAGATTCATGATCCTTGAGGTCCCTTCCAACCCTGGCCATTCTGCGATTCTGTATGGCTGTTTATGAGGGTGGATAGTGATAGAACAAAGGGGGAATGGTTTTTAACTAAGACAGGAGATTTAGGTTAAATATTAGGAGGAAGTTTTTCCACACAGAGGGTTGTGAGGCACTGGAACAGGTTGCCCAAGGAGGTTGTGAATACCCCATCCCTGCAGGCATTCAAGGCCAGGCTGGATGTGGCTCTGGGCAGCCTGGTCTGCTGGTTGGCAACCCTGCACATAGCAGGGGGTTGGAACTGGATGAGTACTGCAGTCCTTTTCAACCCAGGCAATTCTGTGATTCTATGAACTCACCCCTTCCAGCAACAGTTTAGAATAAAAAGGGTGAGCTGAGGAATGCAGCCTTCTTCGGTTCGAACCCTGGCACGCCAGAGAGGGGGGCAACCTGCACAGGCTTGGAATGCATATGCAGACCCAGAAGCACTATTGAGACAGAGAGGGAGAGGAAGGGTGGATCTAGGCTCCCCCCACTCTGGGCACTCATATGCTCCCATCCTGGTTCAGTCTGTGACCTGGCAATTCCATTGCACTCCACCCCTTCACAGCATGAACTAATGATCGAGTGGGTAGGGGGTGAGCTCCTGCAGCTTTGGTGGTTCAAAATACAATGCATATCGTGGCACATATACAATACCAGCCACAATGTAGAATGTTAAGGCACTAAAGGCAATTATCGGCAATCTTTTTTGTGGTTCTGTTGGGCCAGTACTTGATGTTTCTTCCCGAGGCATATCTTCTTCAAGGACCAGTAGCAGTTCTGGTTCATGTTCTTTACAGAGAGAGCGGGGAGGTGCTGGAACAGCTGACCAGGGAGACCGTGGATGCCCCGTCCCTGGAGGTGTTCAAGGCCAGATTGGATGAGGGCCTGGGCAGCCTTGTCTGGTATGAAACATGGAAGTTGGTGGCCCTGCATGTGGCAGGGGGGTTGGAGATTCATGATCCTTGAGGTCCCTTCCAACCCTGGCCATTCTGTGATTCATGCTTGCCAGTTCCCAAAAGTTCAGCAGTCCACCACAGGGTGTCACAATGTTTCCTCATGCACACTGGAGCATGCTGGAATGATGTTCCTCCTTCCACCTGTCCTGTGAACTTATAACCTCAAGGGGAGTAAAACAAGTGATTAACAGGTATGAGGACGGGTAGCTCTTCCCTCCACAGTAGGATACAGGCCGTATTTCAGTCTTGAGTCAACACCTCTGCCTATATCAGGGCATGTCCTGGTCTTCAGTACCACACCCTTTGGCCTGATATCTGTGGCTGGATTACTTTATCAAGTACCAAAGGGGGGGGTTCTAATTTGCCTCATGGACATGATTAATGTCCCCTTTGCAATGAAAACAGGAATGTCAACTACTACCTCTGCTGGCCATGCACCAGTTACTGGATGGTTTAGTGATCCCCCAACCTCTAACAATCTCCCCCAAGGTGCAAGGAGACCACACCATTTTGGTCCTGCTTGCACCTTCCAAGGCCATTTTACCTTGTGTTTCCCGGGCTCTAGGTCCTCAGAGGCAGGGAGCAGAAGATTATTCATGGTGCCAACTTCTGCTTGAGCAAGGTGCCCTTGCCTGTAATTTGTATCCTAAGTGGGGAGGCCCAAGTTGTCTGCAACATTCTTAAAGCACTGGGTCTGCCATCCCTTGGTCTCTCATTCAAGTCTCGCAGGGTTTCATAAAACCTCTTGGTCCACCCCTTCAAGGACTGTGAATCTGCCTTCAGAGCAGCCTCGAGGAGCCCATTATATCTTTCTATTTGGCCTGCTCCCATTGGATTACAGGGCAGGTGAAACTGCCCTTTGATGATGTTGCCTTCAGCCCACTTCTGCACCTCTGAAATGTGTACCTTGGTTACTCTCAATGACTTCAGCAGTTCCATATGATGCCGTCAACCTAGTTAGAGCTTTGATGGTATAGGCTTGGTTTGCCTTTGCTACAGGATAGGCTTACATCAATCCACTTGCTGTATCAACACAAGTTAGGGCATATCTGGCCCCTCAAATTGAGGAAGGGGACCTATATAATCAATCTGCCATCGCTGTAATGGGTTGTGTCCTCTAGTGAGATGGGCCGTAGTTTCTGGCAGAGGTCTTGGTCTCATTCGTGAGCAAGCGTCACAGTCCTGACATGCCTGGACAATATCTGATAACTGTATGGGCAGCCCCCATGCTTTAGACGCTGCCCACATGTTTTTCTGTCCTGCATGTTGTAGTTTCTGATACAGCCAGTGAGCTATGTTTTCTGCTGATGTACTTCCTAGCCATCGAACTCAAGCCATGTGTCAGCTTCATCGCTGCCTGGTGACTGCAAGGGTTGATGTCCACAGACATGGTATGCTCATACAGTCCTGTGTCTAACCATGTTCCATATATCAACCCACATATCTTTGCCCCAGATAGGTCAGGCATAGATTGTCCAATCCTGAGTAGCCCACTGTACTATCCAGAGTGTGAGCCATCCAGAGTGCAAGCCCTCGGTAGACTGCCCAACTATCTGTGCAGATCTGTGAAGATCTGCTATCGCCTGGCTCTTGAGCTATCACCATCCACACAGCTCATAGCTCAGCCCACTGGCTACTTTGTCCATCCCCCTCTTCAAACCATATTGTTTGAGTCGAAGGATGGTACACAACAGCTTGCCACCTACCTGGGTTCTCTCTGCTGGATCCATCCACGTACCAAGCATCTTCTGGAATAGGATATTTCCCCTTTTGTACAGGACTTTTCTCAGGGCAAGTAACCATTATTTCCTTGGGTGTCTCACTGTGATGTTACTGGGCTAAGTATCTTCTGCAATTCTTCCTTCAGTGAAGACGATGACAGGTGGCTTCTCTGACTAAGGTAGGTGACCCAGCATGCCACTGTTTCTGATTGGGCCACCCCTGTCTTAGGAATGTGGGTTAGATTTTTTACCCCCCTCCTGGATTGGCAAATTTGTTTTAACAGTGACCTCTGCAGTCTGAGTTACTGGTTCTACCACCTGCAGTGCAGAATAGGTAGCCAATAACTGCTTTTCAACCATGCGGTATCTTTCTTCTGCTCCACGCCAAACCTATGACTAGAACCCAATTGGGATTCGAACAGAACTCTGGTGCTGCCACAGCCAAACCCTTCTTGAGTTACATGCACATCTAGTTCAGCTGGAGGGGTTGGATTAAATATACCCAGCGCCTGGGCCTGTTTGATGGCTATTTTTGCTTGCTGGAAGGCATCTTGTTCCATTCTACCCCAATCCCATACTTGGCCTTTTTTTGTTAATAGATATAGAGATTTTAGCAGTTGTGCTAAAATAAGTATAAAGGATTGCCAGTATCCAGTTTTGACAGTAGATGGTTTGAACGAATTTGCCAAGTCACAATACCACCAGATTATGACAAAAAGTAGGCGAATGCATGTATCCCTGAGGTAGGACTTGAAAAGTCCACTGCCTGTCCTCCCATGTGAATGCAAACCGGTATTGAGATTCCTTAGCAATTGAAATGCTGAAAAATGCATTTGCTAGATCCAGAACACAGTGATATGTTTCTATTTCTCTACTTAATGTATCCATGAGGGAGGCGATGTTGGGTATGGCTGCATGGATTGGTGGTGTGACTTTATTCAGTTCTCTGTAGTCTACGGTCATTTGCCATGTAATATCTGACTTCCTGACAGGCCATATGGAGGAGTTGTATGGGCTATGTACAGATCTAATGATCCCTACTCTCTCCAGCTCATGCACAGTCCTGGTAATTTCTTCTTGCCCAACTGGGAGTCTACACTGCTTAGTATTTGTGATCCGATGTGGTTGAGGCAAACAAATAGGCTCAATTTTTGCATTGCCCCTGTCAATGGTATATGGGCTGGTTCAACCTGGTTTTGTGAGGGATCCACAGATCCACGCCTCTGGAAAGGGGAAACAGGAGACCCCAAAATAATTAAAAACAGCGGCAACGATCTGAGGAGAAACAAACTAATTTACTAAATAGGGTATCGGAATGCAAGATAACACACTATAATACAATATAATTAGAATTGAAGCTAATAAATCAAATATAATGAGAGAAGGAGTGTCCAAAAAAGCTGAAGGCCTTACACTAACGGCGTGTGGTTGGGATGAGCAGCATCGAGAGAGCCTGATGATCGAAAAGAGGGATGTCAGGTGACCTACCAAGGCCTTATATCTGTTCCCCCAGAGCAGGAATGATAACAGAACAGCAGTCTTCAGGGGAATGTAGTTCTTCTCTTCTGGACAAGTGTCCAGAACTGGAGCATTAACTCTTTAACTCCCAGTGCACTACATGATGTTATGATGTGGGCGGGTAGTTGAAGGAA